CTTTGTTCCTTTCCCCCATTTATGCTTACATCTAGATGGGGAGGAATAAAAGGTAAAAGGAAAAAAGTAAGGTATTGTCAAGAAGGCCTTGGATCCTTGTGTTCTCTGTTCTGATTGATTACTAGCTCTGTTATTCTGTCTATTACGGGATCTGCGTATCAACATTGTTCTAGTTATGTTTAATCCTGATGATGCAGGAATATCATTGTAGATTCTGTAAGTACTGTTCCATTTTTTTTCATTGTCTTTGCAATAAAAGTTGTTTGGATTAAAAAAAAAACAAACACATAAATAACACTTTATTATAACATATTTAACAAATTTATTTTACAGTAATATAGTGTTAATTCATCTTTATAAATTATACAATACCAAGGAATAAATCCTTTTGGACTTGGACCTCTGCCGTTTTCAAAAGTGCTTTACAGTTCTTCCATACTTGAAGATATAAGAAAGGGTGTAGCATGGATGGTTCCTGCTGCCATATTCATTGTCCATTCTGTAGTGTCTTGTCCATAGGCTGATATATTTTAATAATGATATTTCCACGTCTCCAAGTAATTTCGTACAGTTTATGCAACATACAAATTAATATTAGTGTCTCTTGGTGTACTTGGCCAATAAATATTTTAGACGTAGCAGACGTGTCATTTTGTAATTTGGTCTTTTGATCTCAATTGGAAGTCTTCAGCTTATGTGAAGTATAAGGTTCCAGTTTTTCTGCAGATAAATAAATACATAAATAAATAAATACATAAATTAATAAAACTGTTCAATAAATAAGATTTTTAAAATAATTGGGACTTGGATTTGCCAGAAGAAATGCTAGATTTTAGTTACTTACTGTAAAGAGAACTCCGGTCAGGAGAAAAACTAGAAATGCCTAGAAAAAACATGTTTAATGTTATTCTATATGTATGTGATTTTTTTTTTTTTTGTGAAAAGCTTAATTGCAGCTTCTTTTCTAATAGCTGGAGACTCAATTCACAAAGCTTTAGTGCCTGCCCAAGGCACTTCATTTTCAGCCATGGCTAGACATGAAATTTTCATTTAATGCTGTCTGGGTTGTGGAGAGTTTCTCACTTCTTGTCCTGTCTACATCCAAATAGACTGAAGGTAGGCAGAATTTTCCCAACTTTTAAAAACTATAAAAAAATATTTTTTTAAAACGACATATGGTTTGAGGTATTTTTTTTAGGCGAACCTATGACAAAGACCTATTTAACCTATTCAAAGAGCATTACAGGCCTTCTAAAAAGAGAGCACAGCAGAAACTGTTTCTTTTTATGCCATCCAGGGGCGGACTGACAACTCATGGGGCCCCCCGGGCAATAGGGGATCATGGGGCCCCTGTGTCCTTGCCCAAACTCAAAAAAGCCTATGAAAAAGGTACCAGGGGCATCTCATGGGGCCCCCTACTGACCCCGGGCCCTTGGGCAGTGCCCGAGTTTACAAATGGTCAGTCCGACCCTGATGCCATCTTTCTCTGAATAAAACTAAATAAGGATCCTGAAGAGAACAAGGAGAGAGGGGAAAGATGTACTGTTCTGACTCATTTTGTTTTACAGGTGGATTTTGGATTTGATCTGTGCAAAAAAAGGGCTTTTTTTTTTTCTATGAAAGAAGCCAAATATAGCCTAAACAATGGGAAAATGAACCTACTGTAAAGCACTACTTGCTAGTTGAAAATGTAAATCACTTGCTGGATAAAATACAAAATGTGCATTATTTAAAGTGGAATTAAAGGTAATTATTAAAATCACAAACTTGCACAAAGACATACTGGTAGGTTGGCTCCTATCTAAATTGGCCCTAGTATGTGTATCTATGAATGTGAGTTAGGGACCTTAGATTGTACGCCCCTTGAGGGTTAGGGACTGATGTGAATGTACAATATATATATAAAGCTCTGCGTAAATTGATGGAGTTATATAAGTACCTGTAATAAAATAAATAATGTCATACCTACAGTGAAGGAAATAAGTATTTGTTCCCCTGCTGATATTGAAAGTTTGGGGGTGTTTTTCTTCTAATGGGACAGGACAACTGCACCGCATCAAAGGTACGATGGACGGGGCAATGTACTGTCAAATCTTGGGTGAGAACCTTCTTCCCTCAGCCAGGGCATTGAAATGGGTGGTGGATGGGTGTTTCAGCATGACAATGACCCAAAATACACAGCCAAGGTAGTAAAGGAGTGGCTCAAGAAGAAGCACATTAAGGTCCTGGAGTGGCCTAGCCAGTCTCAAGACCTTAATCCGATTGAAAATCTGTGGAGGGAGCTGAAAGTTCAAGTTGTCAGATGTCAGCCACCAAACCTTAACGACTTGGAGAGGATCTGCCAAGAGGAGTGGGCCAAAATCCCTCCTGAGATGTGTGCAAACCTGGTGGCCAACTACAGGAAACGTCTGACCTCTGTGATTGCCAACAAGGGATTTTTCAAGTCATGTTTTTTGAAGGGGATCAAATACTTATTTCCCTCATGAACATGCAAATCAGTCATCATTTGTTAGACACGCATTTCTTTTGAATTTGTTGTTGCTATTCTGTCTCTCAGTGTTACAATACACCTACCATTCGATTTTTAGACTGATCATTTCTTTGTGAGAGGGCAAACATTCAAATCAGCAGGGGATCAAATATTTATTTCCTTCATTGTACCTGCTCTGTGTAATGGTTTTGCACAGAGCACCCCCGAACCTCCTCTTGTTGGGTCCTCCCGCCGGCGCTCTCTAGCTTCTATTCCCCGCTGAGTGCCCCCATAGCAAGCTGCTTACTATGGGCTCACTCGTGCTTGCTCACTCCCAAGCCCCGCTCTGTGTGTCTATAGTCACACAGAGCATGGCTCAGCCCCACCCCGCCCCCACTCCCTCTTCATTGGCTGTACCTGACAGTACCAGGAGCCAATGGCTTCTGCTGCTGTCTCTGAGCCAATGAGGAGGGAGTGGGAGCTTCTGCTTTCATGCATAACGCTCATTTAAATATAAGGTGGGGGGCTGCACACTAAAGGCTTTTAAACATCATACACAGAAGAAGGTAAAAAACACCTTCAGCATTTAGAACAACTTATTATTGAGCGTAATAACTGAAATAAAATATATACAGAAGATTATTATTAGTTCATGGGTAAATGTCCCCTATCAGTATTATATTGCGGTCTTTGTCCTTGTTTCAGATTTTCTCAGCAAGTGATGGGAAATCTCTGTAATGGAGCCCTGGATAAATTAAAAACATAAGAGGGGTACTAATCCTTTCCTAATCTATCTAAAAAAAAATGTTGGCTCAACCTATACTTTAACTAGTTGCCGACCGCAGATAGCCGAATGACGGCTGCACTGCGGCCGGCCAGTTCTGGGTGGACGTCATATGACGTCCTCCCAGAACGCGCTCTCCTGTGCGCCCCGGGGGCGCGCACCCGGCGATCTCCGTGATCGCTGTGTCCTATGGACACAACTGATCACGTGATGTGGTAAAAGGCCAATCACAGCGGCCTTTTTACCACGTGATCAGCGGTGTCCAATGACACGCTGATCACAGGGAAATGCAAGTGCCGGTTCTCGGCTGCACTTTCCTCACGCTGTCAGATCGTGAGGAAAGTACTGCCGAGAACCGGCAGTTGTCAGAGCGAGGATCGGCACCGATCATCAGGGCACTGATGATCAGTGCCCTGATGATCGGTGCCCAGCAGTGCCACCCACAAGTTCCGCCCAACTGTGCCCAGCAGTGCGCCCACTAGCTCCACCCACCTGTGCCCAGCAGTGCACCCACCTGTGCCCAGCAGTGCACCCACCTGTGCCACTCTGCAGTGTCACACACCTGTGCCCAGAAGTGCCACCTACCTGTGCCCAGCAGTGCCACCCACCTGTGCCCACCCACCTGTGCCCACCAGTGCCACCCACCCGTGCCCACCCACCAGTGCTGCCCACCAGTGCAGCCCAGCAGTGCTGCCAGTCAGTGCCACCAGTCAGTGCCCAGCGGTTGTGCCAGTCAGTGCCCAGCAGTGATGCCAGTCAGTGCCGTCTATCAGTACCCATCATCAGTGTCACCTATCAGTGCCGCCTATCAGTGCTGCATATTAGTGCCGCCTATCCGTGACACCTCATTAGTGCTGCCTATCAGTGCCGCCTATCCGTGCCACCTCATTAGTACTGCCTATCAGTGCCCTTTAGTGCTGCCTATCAGTGCCCATCAGTGCTGCCTCATCAAACGCACATCAGTGAAGGAGAAAAATTACCTGTTTGAAAAATTTTATAATAGAAACAAAGAAACTTTTTTTTTTTTTTTTCAAATTTTTTGCAATTTTTTTGTTTATAGCGCAAAAAGTAAAGCGCCTAGTGGCGATTAAATACCACCAAAAGAAAGCTCTATTTGTGAGAAAAAAAATGATCAAAATTTCATATGGGTACAATGTTGCATGACTGCGCAATTGTCAATCAAAGTGCGGCAGCGCTGAAAGCTGAAAATTGGCCTGGTAAATAAGGGGGTATAAGGGGGTATAAGTGCCTGGTAGGCAAGTGGTTAAGTATCACCTGACCTAAATGCAACCACCCACCTTACCCCAAGCCCATCCCTATCCCAAGGTAATTTGGGCACCACTAATTGATAACTGTGAATTGTATAAAACAAAATAAACTTTTTGGAAAATTGAGTGTCTGACTGGATCCGAGCCTCTCCCGTTATGAGATTACATAAAACTATTGACTCAAGTCAAGAATTTAAAATAGGTGGTTCTCAGTTTAAAAATATCTGGAGTGAAACACTCTTGTGAACTTCCCTTTGTTCTTTCACCACTAATTAAGGCTCAGAGATCAACAGCAATTAAAATCAAAGGTTTGCCAAGACGTGTCATTTAGGCATCGACCGAGGTTTCTTCTGTATTTTTTTGTGGTCTTTTCACCCTTTCATTATGTTGCTTAGACTGTTCTTGGCAAATCACGATGAATATTTATTTTTTGCGGGGGGGTATACTGCTTCTTACCTTCACCTTGATCTCTTTATCGTCATAGAAAATGAGATCAGAAAAGAGCAGCATGCCTAGTAGGGGTGCGAGTGGAGACAGAGCAATAGAGATGGCACCTGGAAAAAGAAATAGTGACATTCTAAGGGATGCGTATTACAGAAAATTTCCAATTTTAGCACAGATAGTCTCATCCAATAAAGAGTATAAAAAAAACAGCCTGGCATTGAAAACACACATTTCGGTGACAATGAAACCCAAGAAAGGACGAAATGGACCTCAGTGGTTACCATCCTATCTCACTACTATATGGTAACATTAGAATTTACTCCAAAATGATTGATAATAAACTACAGACCATCCTTCCTTCATTTATCCACACAGGTCAAGTGGACTTCTTACTCCATAGAGAGTAATACCATGAAGACCATCCATCTACTGTCATACACCAAGAAGAAAAAAATCACTCTCTGCTTTTTATCTGTTGACACGGAAAAGGCTTTTGACAGAGCGGATTGGGACTTTCTGAAGATGGCCTTGGTAAAAATGACATGACAGACTCCCCTTTAACCGGGACCACAGTTGGCTGGCTGCAGGCTATCTCCTCTTTTAAGCTTTACTTGACCCCTGGTCAGCCTTCTCCTATTATAGACAACCTGCAGTTTCTATCTGGTCTCCATTTGCCAGGTTTGCAAATTTGGAAAATAATGTTTTGGCCTCAATTACAACACATTCTTCCCCCACAGGTATTTATTCTCCTATGGAACTCTCCTCTCGATGTCAAAGTAAAGGTAGCCTATGGTTCCTCCACCTGCAACTACATAAGGTTTCTCTTACACCACATCTGAATCTTCACTGTCCTCTGATATCTATGAACAACTATGTACACAGGATACCCCTCCACAACACACGATATCCCTTTTACATCAACTTGTGCACCATTGTAAGTCTATATCTACACTTTCTTGGCTAGTGTAGAACAGATGTCCCCAATTCTAAGAGATGGCTACTAGGCCATAGCCCCTTACTTATAAAATACAGAAGACAACACAACAGCTGGAGTTCAAATTAAATTAACATAAAGAATAAACATTCCTTAAAACAAAAACAGGTTACCTCTAAGCCTGTTGGTCTTTGAAGGCCCAAAAACTAGTTTCCATTATACTCTGTGGAATGTTTACTGTAACAGGCCTCCAGCCGCAACACACCAGCTCGGAGACAACCCACTATCCTCAGTGCAACAATCTCCATGTTCCAGTTAAACCATCATTAATCGGAATACACCAGAGGGACACATTCCACTGATGGCTCCTGAACCATTTTCTTAACCTAAATTTTTACCACTTGCAAAGACCAACAGCGGCCCAGCTGCCATGACATCCACCAACCCACAAGTCCGAACCATGGAAAACAAAACCAGGGAGGATGTTTACGTCCGTCGAGCTCTAATAGATGCCAGAGTTAGACCACCCCTCCTTAAGCCACCCAAGACCTCACCCAGCCACATGCAGTCCCCCAATCCGGTAAGCTTCCTTCTTAAATAAAACCACCTCCATTAACCCTTAACCGCTTGTCTCCCCTCTTCATCCAGTCATGTCTGCCCTCCACTATTTTTAATTTTTTTTTCTTTGCCTCGAGCCATACTTTCCAAACACAGTGGGAAACAGATTGTAATACCCCCTTTTCATATAAAGATTGGAGTAAAATATTCGCTCTCAATCATTCCATCTCTACTTTCCCCAAAGCACAAATCTCTACCTCCCCCAAAGCATAAGAGAACAACTCTACAGTTGCAAGAAAAAGTATGTGAACCCCTTGGGATTACGTGGAGTTTTGCATGAATTGGGCATAAAATGTGCTCTGAACGTCATCTAAGTCACAACAATAGAAGAACACAGTCTGCTGAACATAATACTACACAGACATTAGATGTTGCCATGGTTTAATTGCACATAACATGTAAACATTCACAGTGCAGGGAGGAAAAGGTATGTGAGGCCCTAGCTTAATGACTTCTCCCAGAGCTAATTGAAGCCAGGAGTGAGCCAACCTTGACTCCAGTCAGCGTGATGATATTGGATGTGTTGCTGACAGCTGTCCTGCCCTTACAAAACACACACCTGATTTGGGTTTACTGGTTTCAAGAAGCACTGTCTGATGTGAACCCTGCCTCGCAGAAAAGAGCTCTCAGAAGACCTACGATCAAGAATTGTTGACTTGCATGAAGCTGCAAAGGGTTACAAAAGTATCTCCAAAAGCCTTGATGTTCATGTGTCCACGGTAAAACAGACTGTCTACAAATGGAGAAAGTTTAGCACTGTTGCTACTCTCCCTAGGCGTGGTCATCCTGTAAAAATGACTGCAAGAGCACATTGCAGAATGCTGCATGAGGTAAAGAAGAATCCCAGAGTGTCAGCTAAAGACCTACAGAAACCTCTGGCACATGCTAACATTTTTGTTGACACATCTACAATAAGGAAAACATTAAACAAGAATGGAGTACATGGAAGGACACCACGGAGGAAGCCATTGCTGTCCAAAAAGAATATTGCAGCACGTTTGAAGTTTGCAAAAGAGCACCTGGATGTTCCACAGCACTACTGGCAAAATATTCTGTGGACAGATGAAACCAAGATTGAGTTGTTTGGGAAGAACACACAACACTATGTGTGGAGAAAAAAAGGCACAGCACACCAACATCAAAACCTCATCCCCACTGTAAAACAGTGGCGGAGAGAGCATCATGGTTTGGGGCTGCTTTGCTGCCTCAGGGCCTGGAGGGATTGTTGTCATTGATGGGAAAATGAATTCCAGAGTTTATCAAGACATTTTGCAGGAAAACGTACGACCATCTGTCCGCCAACTGAAGCTCCGCAGAGGATGGGTGATGCAACAGGACAATGACCCAAAGCATACAAGTAATTCAACAAAACAATGGCTGCAACAGCACAGAATACGCCTTCTGGAGTGGCCCAGTCAGAGTCCTGACCTCAACCCGATTGAAATGCTGTGGCATGACCTTAAGAGAGCGATTCATACCAGACATCCCAAGAATATTGCTACACTGAAACAGTTTTGTGAAGAGGAGTGGTCCAAAATGACTCCAGATCGTTGTGCAGGTCTGATCTGCAACTACAGGAAATGTTTGGTTGAGGTTATTGCTGCCAAAGGAGGGTCAACCAGTTATTTAGTCCAAAGGTTCACATACTTTTTCCTCCCTGCACTGTGAATGTTTACATGTTATGTGCAATTAAACCACGGCAACATCTAATGTTGTGTAGTATTATGTTCTTCTATTGTTGTGACTTAGATGACGTTCAGAGCACACTTTATGCCCCATTCATGCAAAACTCCACGTAATCCCAAGGGGTTCACATACTTTTTCTTGCAACTGTAAAATTTTTATATGTTGGCATCACACTCCTTCAAAATTAGATAGAATCTACCCTACCATATTCGACACTTGCTGGAGATGTTCACAACATAGAGGCACAGCTCTTCATATTTGGTGTAATTGCCCTCAAATCATAACCCTCTGGGATACTGTTTTTGACATCCACAATGACTGTTATTCCACGACATATCAGAACACCACCTAAGTAGTACTTACTGTTTGAGGCCCTACAAGACATGGCCCGCATGGAACATATGATAGCTGAAGACATGGATACCACTGAATGGTATTGTTCAATGTGGATGGCCTGGCACTTAAAAGGATAAGTTCACCTTTTGGACAAAATAATAAATGCACTTTTTTTGCAGGTTAAAAAATGTGCTTTTTTTTATTTTCGTCCTAAGGAGGCTGTAAAGCATTGCACAAGCAATCAGTAGATCACAGATGCCATGCAGGTCTCCTGCAGACCTGTCAGAATATCTGCTTGCTGACAGGAAGCTTCAATGAACTACCACGGCGCTCCACAACGCCATGGTAGTTCATTGAAAACTACAAACCCACAGGGGCTAAGGCTGTCGGGATTTGCAGTTCATTTATTCACCATGAAGTCCATGAATGAATGATGCGGAATGAATGATGGGAGGAGCTCCACATGGCCCCACTGTTTTCAAATCTGACAGATAGTACGGGGGAACTGCTCCCTGTACAATCTATCGGGGGAAGGGGGGCGGTTGCGGCTATGGGAACATGTTACATGTTCCACCCTAAAAACAGGTGGAACATGTACCAAAGGTGAACTTATCCTTTATTTCTTTTTTAAAGAATCTGCTAAATTCAAATCCTATTTTTCTAGAAACCCACAGCAGAGGAATACACAGCAGCATGTTTCCCAAGTAAAACACACACAGCACATTATGTTAAACAGCACACAGTTAACCCTTTGATCGCCCCAGATTGTAACCCCTTCCTGAGCAATGTCATTAGTACAGTGTCAGTGCTTTTTATTAGTGTAACTGGGGATGTCAGTGGCAGTTAGTCAGTTCCCACCCAGTGTCAGAATGCCCGCCGCAGTCCCGCTAGAAGTCGCTGATCGCTGCCATTACTAATATAAAAAAAAATTCCAGTATATATACCGCCAATTGTAGATGCTATAACTTTCATGTAAACCAAATAATTTACACGCATTTGGATTTTTTTTAGCAAAGTCGTAGAATACATTTTGGCCTAAATTTATGACGAAATTTGATTTTTAAAATTTTGTTTTATAGCAAAAAGTCAAAAATATTACGTTGTTTTTTTTTTAAATTGTCAGAATTTTTTTGTTCATAGCGCAAAAAAAAAATGCAAAGGTGATCAAATACACCAAAAGAAAGCTCTATTTGTGGGAAAAAAAAGGACGTAAATTTAATTTGGGTGCAACATTGCATGACCGCGCAACTGTCAGTTAAAGTGACGGAGCGCCGTATCACAAAAAATGGTCTGGTCAGGAGGGGGGGGGGGGGGGGGGGGTAAATCCTCTGGAGGGCGAGTGGTTAATGAAAAAACCTCCACTAGCTGAGGAAATAGCCTAATGCATTTTGATTTTTTTGCCCCATTAGCCCGGAATGGTGTAATTTCAACTGGTGAATGCTATTTAATTTTTTTTTTATAAATAGTTCCCTTGGTGAAAGGCTGTGAGGCTGTGAACACATATCGCAGCCTTTCACCAAGGTATCTATTTATAGAAAAAAAAATACATGATAGTTGAAGGGATACTGTATGGGGTGCTTACAATGGTTCTCCAAGGGCCAATGCCCCACGTTCCACTGGTGAGTATTGAATGCCTAAAAGCAATCAAGAAACCATTTAACCCCTTCAAGTCCGGACACTTTCACCCCCTTCCTATCCAGGCCCGTTTTCAGCTTTCAGCGCTGTCACACTTTGAATGACAATTGCGCTGTCAGGCAACACTGTACCCATATGAATTTTTTTAGCATTTTTTTGAGACAGATAAAACTTTATTTTGGTGGTATTTATTCACCACTGGGATTTTTATTTTTTTGCTATATAAATGAAAAAGTCCAAAAATTTAGAAAAAAAGTGTTTTTCTTATAAAATTTTGCAAATAAATCTTTCTTCATAAATCTTGGCCAAATTTTATTCAGTTATCTTTTTAGTAAACAAAAACAAAACCCAAATTAGTTTATAACCAAACGTTATAATTTTTCAAAATTATTTTTTACATTTTTATTTTTTTTTATTATTATTTATGTTTTTTTTTAACATACTGTCACCCTAGCAGTACAGTGTCACCATAGTGACACTGTACTACTTGTGGGGGGTGATGAAGATTTTTTTTTTATTTTTTTTACACTGATTGCCTTTTACACCCATAAAGGCTGTAAAAGCAATCATTTCTCCTATTCTCTGGCTGCATTCTTGCAGCTATTGAGAAATACTGTGAGAACTGTGATTGGTCATAGCGTGTCACATGGTACAAGGCTGTTGTGAATAGCCTTGCACCATGTGACCTCTGTGATCATTCACAGATTTCACTAGTAGTAAGCAATGATGTCAGCAAGTGACATCTTGTTTACTACTATTCATATGATCACTGATTGGCCAATAAGTGATCACATGATCGGGACCTCACACAAAGGTCCCGTACAGCAATCAGTGCGTACGCTCCGAGAGAGCGTGCACAAGCAGGGAAGGCGGGAGGACATTTATAAACCGCAACCCGCTTCGGCACTGCTCCCTTCCGGCCGTTTATATACATAGGCCGTACGGGAAGTGGTTAAAGAATATGTCAACCCAACATTTCATATTCCTGATCTGTGCCTGCTGTACCATGTACTTGTATTAAAAAGCATCCTGTTCTCTTTGTATTTCTTCCTTTGGGTGAAATCCCTGGTGTTCCTGCCGGTCTTCTGCTTTCCTATTAAAAACTGACCACACTAGGAGGGAGAGCCGTGTGTGGTCAGTTTAGCTGTAGTGGAACTCAGCCTGCTCTCCTCCAATGATCAGACTTGTCCTGACATGCTCCCCTGGCATAGCCATTCACTGGAAAGTTTGATGTGCTGCTGTTTCTCCTCCCCCAGCTCTTATGTAGCTGAGAACAAAGGGAGAAACAGTATTAAAAAACATTTTTTAGATCTATACACAAATGTTTTGCCTTTCATTTCTGTTTTAAACTGAATGGTTTGTTTTACAAGGTGAGGGTTCACATATACTTTACATTAGTCCACAGACCACTGGACTTTGAAAACGACAGCTCTAGGAGGAAATGGAGCCCCGATACTAATTCTGTATCGATGGTTATCCTGACACCGAACGCGTTAGTACATGTGGGACTCACCGTTCACCGCGAGGTATGCAGAGTACTGTTGTAGGGAATCTGTGGTTTGGATCTGTACTGTATAATCACCAGTAAATTCTTTTCTGACATTGACGATCAATAATGAGCCGTCGGGTTGTCCATGAGCGCCATTAATGTACTTTGGCCCCTTAAACTCTTCTTGAGGGGAAATAGTTCAGGATTTGGTCGGCAGCATCTGTGCTTTTGCCTCTATACCAAGTAGCAAATCGCATTCTTCCAGAAACGTCAGAGACTTTTAAGGTGACAGGTTGTCCCACCATGGGGTTATTCGGAATCACTTGAACTTTAATTGCGGAGGCCAAACGCATGCAAACCGAAAGGGTCACTGGAATAGACAAAACACTCAGTGAGCTTTCATTAACCCCTTCATGCCTAAGGATAAAACAAATCTAAATGCCTAAGCACAATTTTGCAACGTTGACCTGTGTTAGTAAAACTGTACATATCATCACAACTACTCTGTACATCCAGGTGGATTATACCGCGTTTTTTTCAGGACAAATTGGGCTTTCATTTGGTGGTAAATGGTAATGGATATCTCCTGATTGTTTTTTATTTTTTAAAGGAAAACTGGCCCAAAACAATAAAAAAAAAAAAATATTTTTTTTTTTATTTCAAATAGTTTTTATTGAAGAGTTTTAACATACAGAAAAAAAAGGGGAAAAAGGGTATATAGGCATTGATATGAAAAGAAAATTTTGAAGGTTCACATTTGATATACACATTACATAACATAGAGAGAAACGACAATGAAGGATCCCCACCAACTGGCTAGGGAAACTATAGGGTTTGATTGTATTTACATGAGAGGTATACTCGATGTCTTGTGAACTTTAGTGGGAACTGGATATGTGTAATTGGGGAAGGATAAGAGATAGGAGAGAACGGGGGGGGGGGGGGGGTAATGGAAGGAGGGCACCGGTATATGTATGGATTAGAGTATTTTAATTTTGGTATGTATCTGTAATCAATCTATTATGCAATTTGGGTTTTTTAACCATCGGGACCAATGGATCACAAATTTGTGGTAGGAGGAGTTGTGGCTGGCTATTCTTTTTTCCATCTCACATTGGAGATTAAGATCTGATATGAGGCGGGTAAATGAAGGAGTAGTAGTTAGTAGAGCGCCATAATCTAGTGATATTGATTTTGGCAGCTGCTAAAATATGTATAATAATGGTACGTGAGTTTGTGGGGAATTTTTCTATGCCAATGTGTAGAAGAGCTAGGGCGGGATTTGGGGTTACAGGCGTTTCCGTAATTGAGGTGAGTATTTGGAAAACTTTGTTCCAATAGGATTTGAGTGATTTACATGCCCAGATTAAGTGGAGAAGTGAGCCTGTGTCTCCACAGAGTCTCCAGCATTTCCCGTGATTGTTGCGGGTAGAATCGGGATAATTTAGCAGGGGTTAAATACCCTTGATGGAGGATTTTCAGGTATGTTTCCCAATGGGAAGAGCATTTCGAGGCTTTGAAAGTGATGGTAAAGGTCTTTTCCCATATATGCGGAGCTAGCAGTTGAAGGAGATTAATAATTTTTTTATTTAGCTGTGTGTTTTTGTTACTACCATAACCTACCACCAAAGAACAACCCAAAATAAATTCTCCAGCTCCTGGCGATCGCAGCGATACCATATATGTGTATGTTATTTGTTGTTTGTACCCGTAGTACAGCCCAGAAACAATAGTGTGCATTTTGTTTTTGTCTTTTTTTTTTTTTTTTTTACCTAAAACACACTGACACTGATATTGACACTAACTGACCCTGATACCAATTTTTTTTTAAATCCTGACCTTTTACCCAAACAAAAACCCTGGCAATGAACTAGATCAAAACTTGATATAGGTATTTTTCTTTATTTTATTTATTTATTTATTTCAGGTACTTATATAGCGCCGTCAATTTACGCAGCACTTTACATATATATTATACATTAACATCATTTTTTAATATTTATTTATCTTTTTTTTTTTTTTTTACAAACATTTTTTTCCCCTCTATGCCAGGAGTTAGAGAGATACAATGTATCCCTCTTCTCCATTCATAGAGAGGAAAAAAAAACAAGGGGGCCGGGCTGTACGGGGACTAATCACTGTGATAGCCAATCAGAGTCTATCACAGCGATCATGTGACCTGGAATCAGGAGTCCCGGGTCCTGATCGTTGGAACAGGACCCGGGCTCTCAGTGACACCGCAGTCTTTGTGCAGGGAGCATGCAGTGCGGCGCACTCCCAGCACAAAGACAGGTACGCAAATATGCGGCCCCACGGAAAAAAGCCCAGTTCCGTGAGGCCTCATATTTGTGCGACGTCGGTATCAAGGGGTTAAGTTTCTGCAGCAAACACATAGGGTCTCAAACATTTGCACAGCCATCATGAATAGTCCACATATTTTGCCTAATCTGATTATTTCCTATGATCATCATCGTCATCTAGTGGTCATAATGTGGTATTTTCCTGATTGAGGTGTTTCAGTAAAATACAGCATTGCGACACTAGAGGGAGCTGACAATCACAGGAAATAAACATATTATGCAAGCTACAGGGATTATGCATGACTGTTGGTTTTTTTTTTTTGTTTTTATAAAACAGATCCCATAATGATAACCCTGACTAATCTACAATGTGTCCAAATCCATGGATATAACTATGCCACAGGCAAATGTCATCGGTGATTCTAAAAGATTTATCTGACTTTTTTTTTTTACCCTAAAGAGAACTTCTCAGCTGAACTCCAGGAGAACAGATGAATAAAAGCTGAAGTACAAATTTGTGAGCAGTTTCTGCTGCCAAAGGATTTCTATTTCCGTTCATCCAGATCTCAGATTTACACAGCAGCATAGTCTATGACAGTGTTCTCCAAACTGCAGCCCGGGGGCCGGATGTGGCCCTTTGCTTGAGTTTATCTGGCCCTTGGAGTTTTTTTTCCACCAACTGTCATCAAAGATGGAGCACCATTCCCCCTACTGACACCATCAATGGGGCATTATACTTCTCACTGATAACAATGCAGTCCAGGTGTTTTTATTCTGCATGGACAGTATGGAATCCAATGGCCCTAAATCCCACTAGGGTAGTGAGCTCCAGTGCAGTCAACAAAAATAGAACACACTGCATTTTTTCCTGGATGGAACACATCTGGCATGTACAGTGGGGCAAAAAAGTATTTAGTCAGCCACCAATTGTGCAAGTTCTCCCACTTAAAAAGATGAGAGGCTTGTAATTGGCATCATAGGTAGACCTCAACTATGAGAGACAAAATGAGAAAAAAAATCCAGATAATCACATTGGCTGATTTGGAAAGAATTTATTTGAAATTATGGAAAATAAGTATTTGGTCACCTACAAACAAGCAAGATTTCTGGCTCTCACAGACCTGTACCTTCTTCTTTAAGAGGCTCCTCTGTCCTGCACTCATTACCTGTATCAATGTCAGCTGTTTGAACTTGTTATCAGTATAAAAGACACCTGTCCACAACCTCAAACAGTCACACTCCAAACTCCACTATGGTGAAAACCAAAGAGCTGTTGAAGGACACCAGAAACAAAATTGTAGACCTGCACCAGGCTGGGAAGACTGAATCTGCAATAGGCAAGCAGCTTGGTGTGAACAAATCAACTGTGGGAGCAATAATTACAAAATGGAAGACATACAAGACCACTGATAATCTCCCTCGATCTGAGGCTCCACGCAAGATCTCACCCCGTGGGGTCAAAATGATCACAAGAACGGTGAGCAAAAATCCCAGGACCACACGGGGGGACCTAGTGAATGACCTGCAGACTGCTGGGACCAACGTAACAAAGGCTACCATCAGTAACACACTATGCCGCCAGGGACTCAGATCCTGCAGTGCCAGACGTGTCCCCCTGCTTAAGCCAGTACACGTCCGGGCCCGTCTGAAGTTTGCTAGAGAGCATTTGGATGATCCAGAAGAGGATTGGGAGAATGTCATATGGTCAGATGAAACCAAAATAGAACTGTTTGGTAGAAACACAACTCTTCGTGTTTGGAGGAGAGAGAATGCTGAGTTGCATCCAAAGAACACCATACCTACTGTGAAGCATGGGGGTGGCAACATCATGCTTTGGGGCTGTTTCTCCGATAAGGGACCAGGACGACTGATCCATGTACAGGACAGAATGAATGGGGCCATGTATCATGAGATTTTGAGTGCAAACCTCCTTCCATCAGCTAGGGCATTGAAGATGAAACATGGCTGGGTCTTCCAACATGACAATGATCCCAAACATACCGCCCGGGCAACGAAGGAGTGGCTTCATAAGAAGCATTTCAAGGTCCTGGAGTGGCCTAGCCAGTCTCCAGATCTCAACCCCATAGAAAACCTTTGGAGGGAGTTGAAAGTCCGTTTTGCCCAGCGACAGACCCAAAACATCACTGCTCTAGAGGAGATCTGCATGGAGGATGGGCCAACATACCAGCAACAGTGTGTGCCAACCTTGTGAAGACTTACAGGAAACGTTTGACCTCTGTCATTGCCAACAAAGGATATATAACAAAGTATTGAGATGAACTTTTGACATTGACCAAATACTTATTTTCCACCATAATTTGCAAATAAATTCTTTCCAAATCAGCCAATGTGATTGTCTGGATTTTTTTTCTCATTTTGTCTCTCATAGTTGAGGTCTACCTATGATGCCAATTACAGGCCTCTCTCATCTTTTTAAGTGGGAGAACTTGCACAATGGTGGCTGACTAAATACTTTTTTGCCCCACTGTATATGTCCTCAATTGAGATAAGGAAAAAAAGAGGGGGAAAAACACGCACCCGAACACATAAAAAATGCGCATGTATCTGGAATGCTAAAATCATGGTGCGAACTGGTCCTTAGGCTGGCCATAAGCCCCCTCCCACAGTAAAGCCATTCTGATGACCCGACTTTTTAAATCATGATTTTACCATCAGGTAATGATAAATTCTGCATAGCTGCTCTTATCAAGAGGAGGGTCAGTGCCATTAGCCAATCAGGGCTTTATTACTTGCTGTCAGTCTAACACAGTGAACAAGCTTTTAGGAAAAGCAAAGGGATCCCCTAATCATATGGCTGTTCACTCTTTGTTCATCCACAGGCTGCAGTTGGTTCTGGTCCATGCTCTATTACTTATCTGCAGCATAGTCCATGACAGTGGTCTCCAAACTGTGGCCTGGGGGCTGGATGTGGCCCTTTGCTTTTCCTCCTACTGACACCATCACTGGGGCATTATACTTCTCACTGATGTCAACAATGGAGCACTATTCTTCTCACTGATATCAACTGATAACAATGGAGCACTTTTCTTCTCACTGATATCAACAATGGAGCACTTTTCTTCTCACTGATATCAACAATGGAGCACTTTTCTTCTCACTGATATCAACAATGGAGCACTTTTCTTCTCACTGATATCAACAATGGAGCACTTTTCTTCTCACTGATATCAACAATGGGGCACTTTTCTTCTCACTGATAACAATGGAGCACTTTTCTTATCAACACTGATATCAACAATGGAGCACTTTTCTTCTCACTGATATCAACAATGGGGCACTTTTCTTCTCACTGATATCAACAATGGAGCACTTTTCTTCTCACTGATATCAACAATGGAGCACTTTTCATCTCACTGATATCAACAATGGAGCACTTTTCATCTCACTGATATCAACAATGGAGCACTTTTCTTCTCACTGATAACAATGGAGCACTTTTCTTCTCACTGATACCAACAATGGGGCACTTTTCTTCTCACTGATACCAACAATGGAGCACTTTTCTTCTCACTGATATCAACAATGGAGCACTTTTCTTTTCACTGATATCAACAATGGAGCACTTTTCTTCTCACTGATAACAATGGAGCACTTTTCCTCCTTTTAAAAATCAATGATGGGGCACTGATGCTGGGGCATTTTCTACTCCCACTGGCTACAGTCCAGCCCCCCTAAAGTCTGAGGGGCAGTAAACTGTCCCTTTGCATAGAAAGTTTGGAGACCCCTGGTCTATGAGACGGTCACTGGATTGCTGTCTGGCAGGGGTACCTATACCACAAGACTGGCCAAACATAGTTTTGTATAGTATTGCATAGATTTGGGAGTGGTTAGAACCTCTGCTAGTTTTTTTTTTATTTCTGTAAGGGAACATCCCCCATGGGGTCGCAGACACTAAAATTGCCAGACACAAGTTCTAACTGCTTACCGCCACACTAAAAAAAAAAATTTAAATTGTATTTACTTCCTGCCCCTGGTGTCATCAGAACAGGTAATAAGGAAAAAATAGTCTAAAAAAAGTTTTGGTTTGATTTTTATTTTTTTCAAACCATTTAGATAATTTATATTTTTTTTGTTGGATAGAGACAGGCAAAATAGAACACCCCATGTTATATTAATTATATACAGTAATTAAGTTTTGTTATAAATGCATATGTATATATCCATTGACAACAAAAATAAAAAAAATTTCCTTTCTTTCTAATAAAAAAAAAGTAAATTTATAGTTTATTTCTAACGTCATTTATTTATATTTTTTTTAATAAAAAGGTTGCAGTAATAACACTTTTTACCACTGGGTGGAGTAGAGGCCTCTGTAGCTAAATGGAGACTTGCTATACGTTTTTCAGTTTTGCAGAAATGCACTACAGCCCATTTATCCCCTTCCTGTCCGGACACTTTCACCCCCTTCCTGTCCAGGCCAATTTTCAGCTTTCAGCGCGATCACACTTTGAATGACAATTGCGCAGTCATGCAACACTGTACCCAAATGAATTTTTTGGCATTTTTCTGAGACAGATAAAAGTTTATTTTGGTGGTATTTATTCATCACTGGGGGTTTTTTTTTTTTGCTATATAAATGAAAATGTCCAAAAATGTTGAAAAAAAGTGTTTTTCTTATAAAATTTTGCAAATAAATAATCTTTCTTCATAAATCTTGGCCAAAATGTATTCAGTTATCTTTTTAGTAAAACAAAAATAACCCAAATTAGTTTATAACCAAAAATTATAATTTTTCAAAAATTGTTTTTTACATTTTTATTTTTTTTTTTATTATTATAATTATTATTTATGGGTTTTTTTTTTACATACTGTCACCCTAGCAGTACAGTGTCACCATGGTGACACTATACTACTTGTGGGGGATGATGAAGATTTTTTTTTTTTTTTACACTGATTGCTTTTAACACCCATAAAGGCTGGAAAAGCAATCATTTCTCCTTCTCTCTGGCTGCATTCTTGCAGCCATTGAGAAATACTGTGTGAGCTGTGATTGGTCACAGCTTGTCACATAGTACAAGGCTGTTGTGAATAGCCTTATACTGTGTGACTTCTGTGATCATTCACCGATTTCACACGTAGTAAGCAATGATGTCACAGAAGTGACATCTTGCTTACACCTATTATGTGATCACTGATTGGCCAATCAGTGATCACATGATCGGGTCTCCCCAGATCTGGAATTCACTATATCTACTCTCCCCAGACTCTGCATTCACTATATCCACTCTCCCCAGACCCTGCATTCACTATATCTGGTCTCCCCGGACCCTGCATTCACTATATCCGCTCCCCCTGTATCCTGCATTCACTATATCCGCTCTCCCCGGACCCTGCATTCACTATATCCGCTCTCCCCCGGACCCTGCATTCACTATATCCACTCTCCCCGGACCCTGCATTCACTATATCTGGTCTCCCCGGACCCTGCATTCACTATATCCGGTCTCCCCCGACCCTGCCTTCACTATATCCGCTCTCCCCGGACCCTGCATTCACTATATCCGCTCTCCCCGGACCCTGCATTCACTATATCCGCTCTCCCCGGACCCTGCATTCACTTTATCTGGTCTCCCCGGACCCCACATTCACTATATCTGGTCTCCCCGGACCCCGCATTCACTATATCCAGTCTCCCAGGACCCTCATCACTATATCCGCTCCCCCGGACCCTGCATTCACTATATCCGCTCTCCCCGGACCCTGCATTCACTATATCCGCTCTCCCCGGACCCTGCATTCATTCACCCCACATACTATATCTGGTCTCCCCCCCACATTCACTATATCCAGTCTCCCAGGACCCTGCATTCACTATATCCGCTCTCCCCGGACCCTGCATTCACTATATCTGGTCTCCCCGGACCCTGCATTCACTATATCCGGTCTCCCCGGACCCCACATTCACTATATCTGGTCTCCCCAGACCCTGCATTCACTATATCTGGTCTCCCCAGACCCTGCATTCACTATATCCGGTCTCCCCGGACCCTGCATTCACTATATTTGGTCTCCCCGGACCCTGCATTCACTATATTTGGTCTCCCCGAACCCCATTCACTATATCCGCTCTCCCCGGACCCTGAATTCACTATATCCGGTCTCCCCGGACCCTGCATTCACTATATTGGTCTCCCCGGACCCTGCATTCACTATATCCGCTCTCCCCGGACCCTGCATTCACTATATCTGGTCTCCCCGGACCCCGCATTCACTATATTTGGTCTCCCCAGACCCCGCATTCACTATATTCGGTCTCCCCGGACCCCTTAAACTAAGATAAGCAACTCATCAATGGGTGCCTTTAAGCTAAGACCAACATTAATAACCACTTGACCCCCCCCCCCCCCCATCCTGACCAGACCATTTTTTGTGATACGGTCCTGTTATTTTAACTGACAATTGCGCAGTCATGCAACGCTGTACATAAATTAAATTTATGTCATTTTTTCCCCAAGAGCTTTCTTTTGGTGGTATTTGATCACCTCTGAGTTTTTTATTTTTTGTGCTATAAACAAAAAAATCAACAATATTTTTTACTTTCTGCTATAAAAACATATCCAATAAAAAAAATTTTAAAAATCTAATTGCTTCATAAATTTAAACCAATATGTATTCTGCTGTATATTGATTGGTTTAAATTTATGAAGCAACGTTATAGTGTCTAAAAACTATGGGATATATACTGGAATTTTATCCAGCACATTGCAGCTGACAAGCCTTGGCAGAGCTTTGTTCTGTCAGTCTCCTAGAGACAATCGGCGGGTGCCAGCACTCATCCATTGGCCGGCACCTTCTGATCAGCTTCTGCTGTAACCAATCACAACAGAAGCAGTGAACCTCTGACGCGCACATGCATATATTTATATACATGATTCTGCACAGCGCGGCCACCCTTTATCAGTATACCTGCTATGGTGCGGTCAGCAAATGGATAAGTAGTAGGTGGTCGTATGGAAGATCGGTAGGTTTTTTTTTTTGTTTTCTATTTTGTCCTTACACTTTGGATGGTTTTTGGTATTATTTTTAGTAGTTTTTTTTGTATCATTTCTATTTATGCTCCAGATCTCATGGATCTTTGAGGTTGCTGTCTGGCCCTGCCTGCTGGTCCTTTCCTAATTGCTGTATCTCTAAGGTCCTGTTCACACTTGAGTATTTTGTAACTTGTAGGTCGAAGCTCAAAAACGCCCAACAAGCAAAACCTATTGTTTTCATTAGCCCTTGTTCACATCTGAGACATGGGCCTGTCATCCGCCTGCTCAGCAGGATTAGTGGTCAGATCCCCTGCTGAGCAGGCAGATCTACTTAGCAGGTCCACTCCGTGTGAAAGGGGCCTAACAGTGGACCTCTTCTCTAAGCAAAGCCTGGAAGGTAAAAACTGGGCTTCTGGGATCACCACCCTTCCTGGCAAAGACTAAGAGGTAAAGACCCTATATTCTGACTCAACTATAGCACGATAAACTTTATCTCCAACGATGTATACAGCTATACCATGTGGTGTTGAATTTATCCCTTGCATCGGGTCAGATAGTTTAACTCAATGAATAAACTCACATGTTGAGGAAGTCAGATGAGGAAACCCATTTGAATGTTCCGTTTAATGGTGAATATTCATAGGTAGAAGAACGTTAGTGTTGTAGCCTCTTGGAAGATACATTCAGGAAGACAGGATACAGTGGAATGATTACAGAGAGAGGCAGGGAGGAGGGATATACACAAGTATGATAAGAGAAAGAGCTCAGCTAAGACAGAAGGAGACAGCTTAAAGGCATAGAGCAATAATAAGAAAGTAATGGTCACAGAGAAATGATAATAAATCAAATAGTGTAACATAACACCCTGCTAGAAGCCCTGTTTATGCAGCACAAACCTTCACTGTCTTAAGAGAGTCTACCTCTCCAATCTATTTTTTTCCTTTCAATTATCCTTACCTCCAAGAACCAAGGCCTGAACTGGAGACTTCCAGATGCCTAGCATTGTAGAGCTATCACAGACGTGCCAACCTAGGTCAAAGAGAAGACAAGGAGAATTACAATTCGCAGAGCCTGAAGAGCTAATTACCTCTGTATGAAACTATTTCACACTTCCAGCTTTTTCTCTTATCAGTCTGATGGTAAGAATGTGATTTACATTCTATAAATAGAGACATTCTGTCTCTAAATCCTTACAATGTGATATGTTTGGCTCCAGCATTAAAGTACACTATGGAGAGGCTACATTTCAAAGCTGGACAAACTTGACATGAGTGTTTATAATATTAATACCATGCTCCAGGTGAAGTTTGGCAGTTATTGTGAAAGTTATTATTATGAAAGTCTTCAAGGATTTTGGAGGCATTAAACCAATTGAGTACTGACGTGACACTTTTTTTTATTTGCACTAACATACAATTTTGAGGACTTAAAGAAGAAATTAAAATAATCCTGCCATTATATAAGAATTTGTAGGACTTATTGTGGGAGAGCATCCTACTTATCTGTACCTGAGTGCTTGTGCTGACAGGCTTTTGCTCACTTCAAATGTTTTTTTTTCCCTACAAGTCTATGATGCGACAATGGCACTCTGCAGCCTCACCATGCAAAGAGAGGCGGCCATCTTGTTGGTTAGAAACTAACCATTCATTAAATGGTGACATGCTGTTTTATATTCTTGTTTGATATACGAATTTTATTATGCTTTGAGGCAATACATTTAAATCATCTTACTACACTATGAGGATTCCTTTTTCAATTTGAATGGGGTTTTCCTCTATTAGGATAATTCCTTTATAGGTTCACCTTCTAGCCAACCTTCTGATGTGAAAATTTGGAACCAAAGAGTGTCCAGGTCTGCGGCTTGCCTTTTGGAATTTATACAGTGCTTTTTGACCCATCTATAAGTGGGGGCAGGGGTGGACTGACAACTCATGGGGCCCCCGGGCAATAGGGGATCATGGGGCCCCTGTGTCCTTGCCCAAACTCAAAAAAGCCTATGAAAAATGTACCAGGGGCATCTCATGGGGCCCCCTACTGACCCCAGGCCCTCGGGCAGTGCCCGAGTTTCCAAATGGTCAGTCCGCCCCTGACTGGGGGTCAACTTGATCTAGTGTTTGGTGATGGTGGACTTTTTTCTATCTTCTCCTGGCCGTTTTGAAACATCTATAGCAGAACGGAGATTCCAGTGAAGAGGGGCTTATTCTAAATATCTTCATTTTTGTAGACTGGACTTCTAAAGTTCAAATTTTCTTGAAGTGCCACACTTCTGTATATTATTTTATGTGTATTGTTACCTGTAAGATTGTGGTGGCTACTCATGTGGAATGAATTATTTATTCTTTCATCCTTTTAGTTTAAATAATTTAATATACCATAGCATGGAATTGTAAAGATTTTTCGATGCACAGAGAATTACCAGCTTGTGGGAAAGCAATCAAAGGCCAGAAGATTGAGAGTAATCATCCCTGGGGTTGGTTAACCCTTTACACACACAAATAATGTGTCACCACATGTTTTAACAGAAACACGCACCACACACCATATCTACTATAACAATTCTGACCTTTAAGACATATCTGCAACACCCACTGCCCCTCCAGACAGGTGTAAAAACAAAATTATAAATATGGTAGCATTCTTCAAAGAGGCAATAAGTTCTTTAAGTTCTTATTTAGAGCATTTAGAGAATCAGCTGAATGGCTTTTTAAATATTTAATGAAAAAAAAATAAAAAAAACGGCGCAAAAGAATATTTACAAAACAGACATTAAAGAAAAACCAGATAATAGCAACAGCAAATTGAATTGGATTAAAAATTAAAAACTACTTACAAGTTTGCCTGGCCTCTAGTTCTAGCCACATCACTACAGCCAAAAGCTCTGATCTAGTGTATCAGAGTCACTGGCCCTCAGTATGATTCTTAGGGTTCATGCACACTGGACACTAAAATCAACTGCCCTAGATGCCTTTCTCCCAGCAGTAAAAAAAAATTGATGCTGGTAAGTGCCTGTTCCATGTTTAGCAGCATTTACCCACATCAAATACTTAAATTATTATTCTGGACAATTAAACGAATAATAATGTTCATTGTGACCATTGAAATAAAAAAAAAAAACCTAAGCGCTAAACATGTTTAGTGTTTACATGTGTTTTTGCTGTGTTTGGCGTTTTTCTGCCTCCTCCTCTCTTGAATGCAATTCTTCTGTGTTCAGAAGAGCAGTATCTCACTGCCCTATACACTGCTGTTCCTAAATTCTAGTAAAAGCCTAGCATGGACATATTGGGTTTGATTTACTAAAACTGGAGAGTGCAAAATCTGGTGCAGCTGTGCAGTCAACTTCTAACTTCAGCTTGTTCAATTAAGCTGACAAGATAAAACCTGGAAGCAGATTGGTTTCTATCCCAAGCTGCACCAGATTTTGCACTCTGCGGTTTTAATAAATCAACCCCATAGGCTTTTATTGAGTTGTTCGGGGCTTTGGCAAAAAACAACCAAAAAATAGTGCCCCATCATTTGTGTCAGTGGGAGGAATAGTGACCCCATCATTGGTATCAGTGAGACGAATAATACCCCATCATTGGTGTCAGTTGGAGGAATAGTGCCCCATCAGTTGTGTCAGTGGGAGAATAGTGCCCCATCATTTGTGTCAGTGGGAGGAATAGTGCCCCATCACTTGTGTCAGTGGGAGGAATAGTGCCCCATCATTGATATCAGTGGGAGGAATAGTGCCCCATCACTTGTGTCAGTGGGAGGAATAGTGCCCCATCATTGGTGTCAGTGGGAGGAATAGTGCCCCATCATTGGTGTCAGTGGGAGGAATAGTGCCCCATCATTGGTATCAGTGGGAGAAATAGTGCCACATCATTGGTGCCAGTGGAAGGAATAGTGCCCCATCATTGGTGTCAGTGGGAGGAATAGTGCCCCATCATTGGTATCAGTGGGAGGAATAGTGCCCCATCATTGGTATCAGTGGGAGAAATAGTGCCACATCATTGGTGTCAGTGGGAGGAATAGTGCCCCATCATTGGTGTCAGTGGGAGGAATAGTGCCCCATCATTGATGTCATTGGGAAGAATTGTGCCCCATCTTTGGTGTCAGTGGCAGGGATAGTGCGCCATCATTTGTGTCAGTGGGAGAAATGAACCTTTCCAGTGGGATGAAAGTGCATCAAAATTATTTCCCTTTAATTCTTATAAGACTTTTCAAATCGCTACGCTGGGTTTGCACTGCGCTTTGAAAAGTGTTGCATGATACATCGTTGGTGTGCTTTCCAAAAACGTACCACAGATGCACCTTCTATTGAAGTCAATGGGAAACTCACCAAAAATGCACCCAGGGTGCTTCGTTAGGTGTGTTTTTGGGGTCACATGGCAAAAAATATGCTGGTTGTTCAGGAGCAGGAAGCTGCAGGCATCCTTAACAACCAGTGAATAGCTGATTTAAAGGAGCCAATGCATACAGGCTTCCTTAACAATCATCAGTGGATAGGTAAAATATCCCCCCCCCCCCCGCACTCGCTGCTATCCCCTTCCGGGGTATCAGGGGTGTTCTGGAATCTCAATGCACTAATATACCCGTTGATGCTCTGGATTTACATTTTAGTACATTACATGAGCTTCGTAGGTATGCCTCTGGTGCGTTCGAAGCTGACAGCAGACAGAAATCACCCAGACGGTGGAGAAAGGAAGATGGGAAAGGAAGTAACTCTAGTATAGATGAGGATGAATGCCGCTCAAAACGATCCCCAAGAGTCACGGAGGAACAGAATGCAGTGGGATGGCCTCAGCCATCACTCTGGCCACTCCCAGTGACGCATTTTGCCCCATCCATAGGGGGCTTGGTCACAGAGGCTTGGGTAGGTGAACATCAGAACTGGACCATAGAGCAATGGAAGAAGGTGGTCTGATGAAACATGTTTTCTTTAACATCATGAGGATGGCTGGGTCCGTGTGTATCACCTACCTGGGAAAGAGATGGCACCAGGATGCAGTATGGGAAGAAGGCAAGTCGGCAGAGGCAATGTGATGCTTTGCTTCGGGCAATGTTATGCTGGGAATCCTTGGGTCCTGCCAATCATGTGGATGTTACTGGACACCTACCACCTACCTAAACATTGTTGGTGATCAAGTACACCCCTTCATGGAAATGCTATTCCCTGATGGCAGTGGTCTCTTTCAGCGGGATAATGTGCTGTACAACACTGCAAAAATGGTTCAAGAATGCTTTGTGGAACATATGTGTGAGATGTTGACTTGGACCCGAATTTCCAAGATCTCAATCCATCGAGCAAATGTGCTGGAAAAACTCCAATCCATGGAGGCTCCACCTCACAACCAGGGGCGGACTGACCATTTGGAAACTCGGGCACTGCCCGAGGGCCCAGGGTCAGTAGGGGGCCCCATGAGATGCCCCTGGTACCTTTTTCATAGGCTTTTTTGAGTTTTGGCAAGGACACAAGGGCCCCATGATCCCCTATTGCCCGGGGCCCCATGAGTTGTCAGTCCGCCCCTGCTCGCAACATACAGGACCTAAAGGATCTGCTACTGACAGTTTGGTGCCAGATACCACTGCATGCCATCAGATGTCTAGTGGTGTCCATGCTTCGATGGTCCCAGGCTTTTTGGCGGCAAAGGGAGGACCTACTCAATATTGATTGGGGGGGGGGTCACAAAGCTATGGCTGATCAGAGTATTCAAATCTAAAATAAATGGCGTTTAGTTTGCTAAATCACCGTGTATCAAAAATGCAACTTTAAAAAAAAAATACATGGTTTTGGCATCCTTTCACCTTTTTTGTTCTCCTTTGTTGCATCTAAATACCACGGATCTCCTGCAGGCTCTTCTCAGCCACTCCCTTTCTACATGCATTCCAGCGATGTCTGCATGGCATTTCCCAAAGCTGGTTTCCTAAAGGTGACAACAGTGGACCATGCCCGTGCAATATTACCACCTGTAGTCTCCACCAGAAGCTAGGGCAACAGGACAGAAGCATGACTGAGTGAAA